TTATCCATGGTTGACTCAGACCACAGAGGCCTACTATATCTACTACTTTCCAAAAGTTGTCAAATCTGAGTTGGACAATATTGGATTATAAAAAATGTTCAGAATAGGTTGCATGTTATGTGATTACACAGAACATGGTGAAATAGGTCTCTCAAGAAGGTTCAGAGTTCATTTATTGCATTTTGTAATGTATTACAGATCATCAACAGCACATCTCATATAACAATCTCAAAACCAAACACAGGCCTTCTGAGTGTTTTATGGTCTGAAAATTGTGGTATAAAATACTTTCCTACTACAGTGCGCAATGAACACATTTAGTCTATGCCTCTGACTACTTGGCCACTCATCAAACAGACACAGGGCTTGAAAACACAACGGATATTTCTCTAAAACCATTTTTCGTACCGGCAACTGAAGTGCTGCGGGAGGGTAAACAGGATTTATGTCAGTGGTTATCACATTTGAGGTCCTTGCTGAAACGGTTAGGCTACAAGGACAAAGATTTATGTTCAGTTTCCCCTCATTCTGTTTTCCCAGAAGAGATACAGGTCACACCCCAATTGCCTTTGCTGACATTGATTAAAATAAAACCCTTAAAAGTAATAATTTGCCTTTTCTGGGAATCAAAGGCACCAATGTGGAATAAAAGCTCCAAAATTCATGAATTACAGGCGAGATATGTTTTGCAAGTCTGAGATCAATCCGCAAACTTAGCTTTAATTTGATGGGTATTTATAAACAAATCAGCTGAATAGTGAAAGAATTAGCAAAAATTTTATATGTGCCCCCCCCACCCCCCACTTTTTTTGGTAGGGGACCAAATCTAATTGGACAGTTCGCTGCACAGCTCTTCTATGACTAGCCGTGTGTTATTCCAATATTATTTAATTTACAAGACAGCAGATCGAAGGGCTTAAGTTAATTTCAAGTGTGGCATTTGCATTTGGAAGCGATTGTTGTTTACTCTCAATATAAAGTCCAAAGGGCTGCCACTGCCAGTGAAGACACTTTCACTTGGTCGAAAAATCAAAATAAACCCATCAAAGAGATATAAAAACCTAAGGTGGAGCCAAAGTAACTGTTTGGGACATTCTTAAAAAGATTGTACTGGTTAGTTTAGAAACATGAAAAGACCAGGAACACCATGGTAAAACCTTTTGTGGATAGAAGGAGATAGGTGCATCTGTTTCAAAGTAAAGAAGTGAATAGAGGACTTAACCAGAATAAATACAGAGGCTTTGCCACAGAATGTAAACTATTGGCAAGCCTGAAAAACGGGAAGGTTGCCAAAAAATGTGAAAACCCTGTATTGCTCTGGAACAAATCCGACAGACAGATGAGACAAATATCAACGTGTACTGGAGTATTGAGAGGAGAGGCATATGGATGAAGGAAGGAATTGCTCATGATTTGAAGCGTTCCACCACATCTGCGGAGAGTGATCATTTTCGGGCGGACATGGCTGCCAATGGAACTGGTTCTATTTTATTATTGATAGCTTAACTGCTGACAGAAGCAGCATTAACTGATTGGTGCTGTATTATGGGCTCATATTCAGCCAAGTCCTTCAAAACTCATTGGACGGCACTTCATAGTGCAGATGGACAATATCCCAAAGCGTACCGCAGAAGTGACCCAAGGCATTTTTGAATCAAAGAACTGGAATGTTCTCTGATGGCCATGCCAATCACCTGACCTGAATCCAACTGAGCTTGCATTTCACTTACCGAAGGTTAAACAGAAGGCCAAAGAAGGAACTGCTAACAGCTGCAGTAAAGGCCTGGCCGAGAATCACCGGGGAAGAGATATCCATGGATTCCAAACTTCAGACAGTCATTGTATTTGTTACTAAGTGTTACAAAATGACAAGGAATTGATGGATCATGTTGGCGTGTCCAATCACTGTTAAACCCCTAAAATGGGGGGAGGGGTCTGCATAAAAATGGCTGTAATTCTCATATGGTTCATGCAATATTTCCTGTCACTCTTTTATTTGAGCTTTTAACTAGTCGTAGAGCAGTGGTCCTCAAACTTGGTCCTGCGCTGGCCCTGTGTTTGCTGGTTTTTGTTACAACCTCAATTGCAATCATAGGATTTTAATAAGCTGTTAAAATGCATCTAATAAGGATAAATTATGTTTTGTAATTTACTGTCTTTTCTCATAGAAGTAGAAATTATAGAAATTATAAATTATCATAGAAATTATGTTTATTTTCCTATATTGCAAGAAATTTCAGGTAACAAAATTTTTCAACAATTTTTCAATTTTTTCACGGTTTCACCATTTCAGAACCTATTGATGGATTGCTTTGATTTGTTCATTTGCCTTATAGGCCTACTAGCGACAAACATTCTGTTTAAAAAATATACTATGTCCAAGTGAGTCAGGTTGACATTGCACATTAGAAATTGTTCATCATCTATTTACCAGGTGAAATAAAGGTGAAACAAACAATACTTAAATTTGACAAGGCCATTAAATTAATGCTGAAAGTATACACTTCAAGCATGGAGTGATTGTTTTATTTCAAATGCATTGTAGTGGCAAACTGAGTCAAAATTATGGGTCTCAGTCTAAATACTTAAGGATTGAACAAGCTGCCATTGTAATGGGCGGTGATAGGACGCCAGGTGCCGCGACCAGTGAGAGAAAGAGAAAAGAGCAGCCCAGATAAGAGACAAACACAAAAGAGGTAAACACCTCCGGGAAAGGCTCGCGCTTCCAAGGACAAATAAAAGTCCACAACACGGAAGCAGTGCGAGAGAAAATAAACAACAAAAGAGAAAATTTCTAAAAGGAGCAATTCCTAACAATAAAAGGAATATACAAATCAGTAAGAAATTTGACTAGAGATTTCCTCCAGCCGAAGTGCTAGTAACAAACAGACACTCTAGCGATAGGCGTGGCGAACCCCCGGCCATATATATGTAGAGTCCGGAAAACTCTGCCCCAGCTCAATCAGCCAGCTGGGCCAGGAATTCGATGGAAAAGAAACTCGATATCATCCGGGACGATAGAACAAAGAAAGGTCCAACAAACAAACGCACGCCTAAACCATGACAGGCATACAGTGGATTGAATCAAACTGCAAAGAGGCGTTGTTTTTCATTTGATTACTGTCAAACTTCTCAAATGCCAAGCATGTGTTTTGGTCTAGAACGAAAAATGGCTTGACAAAATGGAGACAATTAAATGTTATGATTTTCTAACTTGATTAAATCATATTAATGGTGTTTTTAATGGGAGAACATATCTGACAGCTCGTCAATATGCGGCACACAATTTGCTGCCGTGAAGAGGCATACAGATTACACTAATACAATACTGTAGTCCAGTGGTTCTCAACATCAGTCCTGGGGACCCCATGTGTGTGCTGGCTTTTGTTCCAACCACAATTGCAATCGTAGGATTTTAACAAGCTGCTAATTTGTCTTAATTATGTGCATTTAATGTTTAGAGCAGTTATTTGCCCTCTTAACCCACAACTTAACAAAAATATCTATTTGCCATCAAGAATTTCAAAAATAGCATTCGCACACTGCAGTATATCGGAAATAACAGCATAAAAGGAGAGAAAACAATGTAGCCAATCAAATTAATGATGTAGATGGCTCCTAATTAGTGAAAACTACTTGGCTCATCATGACAAATGTAGTCCACAAACAATCCAGTTTTGTGTTATGTTGATCTGATTAAGTTCACCTGAAGCTTTTTGAAAGAACTTGAAACAGTTGTGTCCAGCAGCCTAATCTGGGGTTTATTGATTTCCTCAGTGTATAATTTGATCTGTTTGACATGTTATGTTACTTGACATTACTTGCAGTATTGCAATAAACACACTATCTTCAAGGGTGTTTTATTCTTCATTGCATGTATGGATGTTCCTATGTAACATTTGACTAAAGAGATATATAAACAACTCTGAACATGAAAAGCACCTAATTAAGACAGTCACAGCTTGTTAAAGTTCTACAATTGCAATTGTGGTAGGAACAAAAGCCAGCACACACATGGGGCCCCCAGGACCGACGTTGAGAACCACTGCTGTAGTCGGTGTGAGCTATGTATAATACAGCAGCTACTCAACTTTGCAGATACTGACCCACGGGTAAGCAAGGAACTGTGAAGGGAATTAAACTAAATTAAGAATAATATTTGGTGGCTGAAACTGGGACGGTAACAATGCCAACTTTTCATTAAAGGTGTAATTAATATAAAACATCATATCCGAAATGAGGTGAAAGATGTTATTTTTCAAGAATATATCAAGAAGGATATGTAAATGAGCTGAGTTTAAATTCGTTGCTAGGACAACTATTATCAAATTGTACTACTGAAAGGTATATAACTGATACAACAGTGCTTAATGTGTCTCACTAAATACTTTCACTGAACTTGGAAATGCATTTTTAGTTATAGCCCGCAGCTCCATGGCTCGGTTGCTCAGTTGGTCATTCTCTCCGGGAGGCTGAGATCTGGCATTAGCATATACTGTATGTGCACTAACATAATATTTGGCCTCCGATCAGCAATGAACTGGGATCCAAGGACATGGGAGGAAGATCCACAAAGGGAAGAGTACAAATATCACTCCCTGCGGACCATTCAGACAGCATGCCCTCCATTAACCTGCTCAGAAACACAATGACATCTAAAATATTATATCTTGTTTTGGACATGACAGCGAGTGGCACTGTTATGTCTGGGACAGCAGATATGGGCTCTAGAGTGATGCCGAGGCACGGAGGAACCGTTTACGCCAGCGTGCCGCTCTGACATTGAAAGATACCCAAGATAGACAAGTGCTTCCCTCTTTTTCCTTCACCCAAGTGGAATATACACACTTATAGTAAACACACGCTCACAAATACGTACCACACACGCGCGCGCATGCTATACATAGTTATGTATGTGCAGACAAACAGACAGAAACAGACTTTCTTGCATGTTCATTTTATGGTTATGGTCTTTTTTAAAAAATTCCAATTCTGGAGCTGCTGGGTTAGCTCACTCGGTTAAGGCGCCGCATTTGCGGAGCAATTATGACTACTGTGGCGCGGGTTAGATCCCCGTTCATACCAACCAGCAGAGGTCGGCAGCTTTTTCAGTACAGCTAAAGCGCTGTAGGGATGCAAATTGGGAAGGGACTGCCGGGAAGGGAAACTAAAAATGATTGCCTTGTTCGATGCTCAAGCGCCTCCTGTTGGCCAGCCGGGTGCTCGTCAGTGAGAGTCCAAGCTTGCTCATGTTCGGATATCCTCCGCCCTCATTCTGAACTTGTAATAGTTTTGACCAATGAGTGTAAAGATGCAGGGGCTGACAGGCACGTGCTTTGGAGGAGAGCCGCGAACTGTCTCTCTCTCCTGAGCTGGCAACAGGGGGTTGCATACGAGCACGCCTTGTACATAGTTCTCGGATTGGGCATTCCAGATTTGGGTGGGATTGGAGATGCCAAATTTAAAAAAAAATAATAATAATTCCAATTCTGTTTTTGCCGCAGTGCATTCATTTATTCATCCACCTCCAAGAGAACAGCAAAAAATCAAATTGAGGTTGCAGATTTAAAACCAAGATGGCACAAAAGACAAAGAAAAGAAAATCCTGCTTTATAAAACATAACTGCACAGTCACCCTGGCTCAGCAGGCCAGCTTAGTTCAGCTGTTGCTCAATAGCCGTGATTCCAGATACAATATTTTACTTTGCAATACTTTTCTACCTTGACCTGCGGTGCAGTAAAGCTTTGCCCAAACTTAAACCTCGTAACATGAAAGTGAAGCAGGATCTGGATTGTCGTCTAGCTGTGAATTTATCCCTGCCTTTCACCCACTATGTTCTGGGATTGTCCCAGCCAGCACCCACTGAAACTTTGACCAGGGTTTAGTCAGGATAATGAATGGATAATGCATTACATAATGAATGGATGATAAGAAGGTGAAATGGGTTCCTGCCAACGCCAGAGTCATGATTCACCACCAGCGCTTTGGAACAAATACATGCTCAGCTTCCTCGAAAACCCCCCTCCCCCCTTTTATTTTAAAGCCACTCTGATACAAAGAAACTAGAAATCAGGCCCATCAATGCAATTCATGCAAAACCTTGAATGTGCAGCAGAATCACTGGTGTTTGTTTTGAAAATTAATTTAGCGCAGGACCAGAATCTCCCCGGCTAATTATCGCTCCCCATATTTATCAGAGCGGAACTGATGTGGTGGCAGTCCTATAAATGAATGTGTTTAACCTCTGCATCTGATGGTATTAGGTCTGTTATTCATTTCTGTCAATGACATTGATAGCAGGGACTTGTAGTCATGCAGAAAATCACACCATTATTCCAGAATATATTACCTGCATACATATCAAGTAAGGTGCCCTAACCTGCACCTCCCTCCTTCCTCCAAAGGGACAGTCACACTCACGCACCCCCACACATACACACACCGGCACAAATACACGCACAGGTGAATTGGTTTGTGTCTTTGTAACCTGATTGCAACATTGACAGTCTGCTCACATCACGTCCTATGAGAATAGCAGTCATCTCGTATTTATGCCAGGTGAATGTCAGCAAACCACGGTAAGTTGGGTAAGCTGTCTTTGTCACCTTTTAGAACGACATTTCAGGACTCCAAAAATGCAATCATTGACATCAGAATTCACACAGTCTGATGGCTCACTGTCTCCTATCTGACCCTGGTAATGCAATGAACAAGGGATTTTAAGAACTCACGTATCGCTGATGTGCATGGTCCGAGCACTTCGTTTAATTTGCTTGGCCCCTAAAATCCAGTCTCATCTGCACGAAAAATCTGCACCCATCGGCGCCGCTTATTTCTCAAAGTATGTTGTTGCTGTTTCATATTCCTCAGTCAAACATGATGTCAGGAGATCTCCCATAAAATTTTGTGATGGCGATTTGGCAATGCAGATTCAGCATTAGACTGAAGAATAAGACACAAGGACGAAATACTTTGAGAAATAATCGGTGCCGATGGGTTCACAAATAATTTTTGCTTTAGACGGGATTGGACTTTAAGGGGCTAGCCCCGTTGAAGGAAGTGCTCGCACTGTGTACAACATCAGCCGTAGGCGAGCTCTGAACATCCCTTGTTTATTGCATCACCAGAGTCATGTAGCCTAGTCAATCTAGGCAACATGATTATCACGTCGAGAAACACAGGTAACATTGTTTCAGAGTGTTGATTTTAGTTTTTGCGAGCATGCAAAGGATTATTGCATCTTGTTAAAATTTTGATAAATCAATTGGTCAGAATTTGTTTCCCCGTACTGTAGAGTACCTTTTCCCGGTGTAAGTACTTCGGATTTATTTTCAGTAAAACCATTTGAATAAATGATTGCCAACAGCAAGTAAAAAACAGAAAGATGCTAATCATGGTTTTTATAATTTTACATTAGCCAACCTGTGCATGCAAATAAGATCTGGTCACATGCTACATCTGCCATTGTATCACCTACTTATTATCTTACCCCCTTATTCCCGGCATAGGATGGACATCATACCAGCATACACTGTGGAAGGGGTAGGAATATATCCTGGAAAGCTTGCCAGTTGATCCCAGGATGCACACTTACATGCACAGACTTGCAGTCATACATATGGGCAATTCAGAGTCTCCACTTACCTTAACGCGTAAGCCTTTAGACTGTGCAAGAAACCAGATTACCTGGAGGAAATTCCATAAAGCATTAAAATGTCATTGTTAAACTGAAGGACTGGCTGATATTAAATATTTAAAAGGAAATTTAAGCCATTAATAGGGAGAGGACCTGCTGGATGGCCCCCTGTCTACCCCCCCCCATCTGCCATTGCCAGTTGTACTATATACCCGTCCTTCATTCATTCACACAGCTAGTGCATCACTGTACTGTTTATTCTTCATTTCCTTTCTATAAAATGCAAGCACAGAATTCCAGGGTAAGACGAAAACCTTGCAACACAACCATGACAGTCTTCAGGGGAAACACGAAGATCGAATCATTCACTTCCACTGCATTTTCACATTTAGAAGAAGTTTTATATACAGATTACCATAGAGGCTATTTATAAAATTGGCTGTTCTGAAGTAATTCTGATGAAATATCTGGTTCCTGCACAAACACTTGAACCTAGACCCCAATACATTGCTGTCACTCTCTAAATTCATTTCAAGCAGCAATACAACAGATCACTCCTGGGTAAAATAGGTATCCCAGCTGATATGTATTGGTATATCTCCGCTCTCTTATTTGATATTTCCTTGCTTGAGCATGAATATGTGCTGCATCTGCCATCTTGCTGGCCATCTCAAAGCTGTCATGTCTGCTGCACTAAGAGCACTCTGAGGAGCCATGAAGAGCCTTCCCAGAGGACCTCCACCTGAAAACCATAATGTCAATCGGTACTTGCAGACTCAGGCAGCAGATCCAGCTGTGTGCCGTCATGAGATACGGACATAGTTTCACGTTACGCCTCAGAAGAAAGGACATCTCATTTCTCTAAAGACAAATGATCATTATTAATATTTACGGTTTAAGGCAGCATCTCAACCGACTCTACACTACTCTGATCTTGATAAATTTTGTTGATAAGCAGTGCCTTGCTGGAAAGCTGCATATGGTTTTTCTCATCTCATCGAGACTATTGCTCATAATCTATTTAGCATTGATGCCAAGTAATTACTAGTACAACTGTCAGTATTATGTCTGAGAGGATTGGTGTAATGGTAAGTCTCTGCATTAGCTTGCACTGTTCTTTGTCAACATATAAAACAAAGACTGGGACAGATGTGTATAACTCAGAATGGTTGGGACACGCTTCAGGATAACAGGACTGTCACCGGTGTACTGGGATGTCTGATCATCCCTGTTAATTAACTGGTGCTGATTATAGATCTCAATAAAAGTAATAATCAAATTTATGCTTAGTTCATTGGATGTGAGTAGATGACATACTCCGATACCAGTGATTTAATGCTGCTACACTTATTAAAATGCAGTGCCGTCAAAATTATAAAAGCCTGTCAGTAGTATCGCCTTGTAATGCAAAGTTACTCTGAATCCAGTTCTAATTTTCTGCGCCGGATTCACAACCGAACAATCAGTTTCAATGACTAATTTTTAGAGTGACTGCATGGCCAATTTGGTCGAGTTGGCATTGTTGTTCGTTGTATCACATCGCAATCGGGGATTTGCCTATCCACATTAATGATAACATAAAATGTCAAAATGTCTTTCGAAGATTTTGAATTTATTGAGCTTATAGGGAACGGCACAGTTTCATAAATGTGTTGGCAATAGGCGAAGCCATTGTTCGCCAGTGTTAGATATCCTCTTGCGAAGCATTGTTAGTAGCTACCTCTAACAGCATGCCATGCTTAATGTTTGCAACTAAAATTGCGGCAGCCAGACTGTCATTGAAAAAGTATAATCGTTATTATCACGGTGTATTTGCAATATATGCATTTACTTGCATGTTCACCCCAAGCTGGTGTACTGCAAAGCAAGTTCAAATTTGCTATGTTTTCTTTACATTAACTGGCTTGTCAAACCCTGAAGTTGCAATCACATATACCGTAAGTTACAATGGTGATCTAACATATAAATAATAATGTGTATGCTTCAAAAACAAAATCACATTTTTGTTTTCCATTTTGTTCTCTAGTCTAAATATAGAATTTGTTGTTCATTGTCTTATGATAAATTCCCATTATAATTGTCTTTATCTCGCTGACTGTGAACTGTGCAACTTCCCTCTTATGTCCATATTCTGACCAATTTTCAGTCCTATCGACAGGATTTGGAGCATAAGATTAAGAGACAGAGATGCTGCACTTATGTATCTTTATCAGTAGAATATTATATCTGCTCTGATGTTCATAAGGGATGTTTCATGCATCTGCACGAGTAAGCTCATGTGTGCCTTAATTTTTTGTGTCTTTGCTAGTAAAAGAGAGGAGTATTGAGCAAGAATGTTTTTTTAATCTCGCGCAGTCACACGAGAAACAGCGTCACAAAATTTTTATGTCTTCTGCGTTTTCTCACACATCTGTCAGGGCTTTCAGTGACACCTCACCTGCGGATGTG